CTGAAAGAGATCAAAGTACAATCTTTGAAGGGGAGAGGGAGGAGAGATGGAAAACAAAGGAGTTGTCTAGGAAGCATATGGGAATGGGGGTTGGTAACAGCAAAGTAACGGGAACTTGGTGTCTTTTTAATGTAATGTAGTAATCTTACGTATCTGCTATTATAATGTTGGGTATGTAACAAAAGCTGCTGCACTGTAGTGTAAAGAAGGAACAATGTCTTTATGTATATCAGTCATGGATGTATCTGTGCTGTTGTGCCTGACACCTACATTCCAGGATGATATTTTCCTTTCCAATATGCTAACTGAAAAGAGAAAGTATAAAATGAATCTCCGGAGGAGGAGATTGTATCAATAGTAAGAGGGATGGGGCTATGAGATAGCTCATAATGTGAGTTAAGTAGTTTGGTACACTCCAAATTAAACTTGTCAAAAATGACAGGACATCTATCATTTTCATCTTTATAAGCTCTTTATATTCTGCATGAACGGGGGAAATCTGTCCTGTTCACAGAGCAGTAATCTATTTCTTGGGTGACTGCCCCTTAATAGTTCTAGGAGAGTGTCCTGGGCTTATGACTCCTGCATTAGCAGATTTATCACCTGAATCTACTGACTGTTAAGGAAAAAATTATTCTGTCAGAACAAAAGGGCTTTTCTTTTTCCGCAATGGAAATATGTATTAAGGCAGCTTATTTTGTCACGTTGTTTAGTCTGATAATTACTGAGGCAGAAAAAAGCTGAACTTCCTGATTTTCCTCAACTCTGTGAGCTCATGTGATTTTTGAAAGGGGTGCTAAAGTATTCCAGTGTTTGAATGGCATGTGGTATTTGAAAAACTTGCTCTTGTTGGACATAATTCTTAAGGAGAACTGAGTGACAGATGAGGAGGGCAAGAGAAGGAATGCTGGGCATACATCTCTGGGGAAAGTAAAGCAGCAGGTTTGAATTACCATGTGGTTTGCAAGCTGTGACCTGGAAAAGTAGAATAGTTTTGAAGTGGTGGCAGAATAAAGATGAAGCTGAATCCTTACAGCATGCAAAAGGTTGAGCGTGCTTGTTAACAACCTAATGTCCAGTGCATTACAAGCAGCTGAAGGAAGAGTGGAGGATGAGAAGCATCACAGTTCTTGAGAGGTGTAATCACTTGCTCGATATAATTTCAAATTGCCCTTCTTTTGACCCCTCCAGATTTCTGTCATTTTTCTTCCTTTCTGAAGCCTCCAGTGTCATCTTTTTTTTGCTCTTGCTCTTTCTTTTTGATTTTTTTTTTTTAAACTGTAAACTGTAAGGTAAAATCTGTAATTTGAACCCATGCAATTCTAAGGGATCTGTTACAGTAACTGAAGATATTTATCAGGCTGAAGTTTTTTGGAGAATGTCTGCAGCAGGTTTGCAGCCTTTATTGTGCTACAACATTAAGGGCTGAAGTGGGCAAGCCACTTTGCTTCCCTGTCAGACTCAATTTCAACTTTTGAAGCTCTGAAGGCCCTGAGCAATGCTGTGCATGCATTTTGGCCAGCCTGTCTGTGAGCTACAAGTTTACAGCTTGCTAGCTTAGGACATGGAAAAATTGTTTATTTAGCTAAGATACCTAAATGTTTTCTAGTCAGCTTTCAGAAATTTATATTCTCAGCTGAAATGCATCCAGTTCTGCCATGGGTTGTTGTCCCAAAATCTGGACAGCTGCTTAGCTCTTAAGAAAGGTACAATGCAATTTAGTATAGGATGAAAAAGAGTATTTTATCATGCCAAAACATCTGGGAGATCTTGGTATGGCATATTTTTATCATCTCTGGTTTAGTTCCTATTTTTGCAAAGGTTTGTAGGACTGTTGGAAGCAGAAACCAGTCAATCAGTCTGCCACAATTCTGGATGAGATATGAGAGTATCCTGTATGCATGTAAGCACCAGGGCAATGAGTGATCTTCAGAGATCTGGACGAACTGAACCCTTTAAATGAATGAATGAACTCTCAGGTGGAAGTGACATACTTGTGTTGATTCCTGCCACATAGAGATTTATACTTCACCACAGTGATTGTTTCAGTGAGCTTAAATCCTCATTTAATAAATTACCTTCCATTTCTCTATGTGACCAGATGTTTTGCTGCATCTTTTAATTCTCAGTGGATCTGCCCTTTCCCTGTGGAAGGGAATGGCTGTGAAGCTCTTGGAGTATTAACCTTGTTGTTCTCCCTGTACAGAGATACAATGTGGCGGATTTTCACAGGCTCCCTCCTGGTGGAAGAAAAGTCCAGTGCATTGCTACATGACTTGCGGGAGATTGAGTCCTGGATATATCGGCTGCTCCGCTCACCGATGCCTGTTGCTGGTCAGAAGCGGGTGGATGTGGAGGTCTTGCCACATGAGTTGCAGCCAGCTTTGACTTTTGCGCTTCCTGATCCATCCCGCTTCACCTTGGTGGATTTTCCATTACATCTGCCTTTGGAGTTGTTGGGAGTGGACGCGTGCCTGCAGGTGCTGACCTGCATCCTTCTGGAGCACAAGGTAAGAAGGGGAGAGCTGATCTTTGATAGGTATGTAGGAAGCTCTGCCCTCTTCAGAACCAGGGTAGGCTGGATGTGTAGAACAGCTGTCTCCTGCACTGCCTGGAATCAGTTTGTCTGCAGGGGGAAGGAATAGCTCCTTCTGAGGTTCCCATTTTGAAAAGTTTTGCTCTCGCTCAAAAAAGCATCTGAAGCTTGTTTTCAGATAAATTAATGGAGGGTCATGCAGTTCACAGCCATCAAACCAGAGGCCTCCAGGCTGTGATCTTTGTATACCCCGGGCGGGGATATTAGAAGTGAACGGTTGCTGCAGTGCTAATGTGAGTTTCTTCGATTGCAGGTTGTATTGCAGTCCCGAGATTATAATGCACTCTCCATGTCTGTGATGGCCTTTGTGGCTATGATCTACCCATTAGAGTACATGTTCCCAGTGATCCCTCTGCTTCCCACCTGCATGGCATCTGCAGAACAGGTACCTATTTCTCCTTTATTGGTCTTTGCAAAGGATGTTTCTGTGAAGTCTGAAACTTATATAGGAGTAGTCCTTGTTTCCTTCCCTGCTGTTTTCTCTGGGATTGTAGCAAAGTCTGCCTTGCAAAGAATGTTTGAGCACCACTAACTATTTAAATTGTAGGTAACACCACTTATTTAGGATATCTTCAAAGCATGCTTAACAAATAGTATGATTCAAAGCAGTGGTTCAAAAGCAGGGCTGAAAGGCTGTAGATCCACAGTATTGTGATGAGTATTTACCCCCCACCCTTCCCCCAGCTGAATATTATGGTTCATTGGAGAGGGTCTGGAGTAATATTTAAGGATGCTTGAGGGCCTTTGATTCAGGGTTTAGAAACTGTTGCCTGCGATTTATTCTCCTTGGAAATATGAAGTGTTGAGTTACTTCAACTGGGAGCCTGGGTTTTACCAATAGTCAGCTCTCTGCAGGAGCTCATTATTTTGCTTGGAAAGACAGAACGCAGGCCATCTTACTAGTTAATAAATAAATATTTGTGAAGAACATGGTGATAACAAATGCAGATCTTGTCCTTATTAAAGTCTCTCTCTCTCTCAGTTGCTTTTAGCCCCTACACCTTATATTATTGGTGTTCCAGCAAGTTTCTTCCTTTACAAACTGGATTTTAAAATGCCTGATGATGTATGGCTTATTGACCTGGATACCAATAGGGTAAGTGGTGCCCATGAGGACTTGTGGCTTTATTTCCAGAGAACTGTGCGCTTTCATCAATATACCCACTGAGAATTTAAGAATGCCTGGCCTCAGTCTGCCTTTGCCACTCCCATCTTAAACTCTAGGGTTCCATTCCTTGTTGTGTCTCAGGGTCCCCATTTCTTTTGCTCATAGGCATTCTTTTTCAGTTAATCCGTCTGGCTGTATCATTAGAAGATAAACCCTCAAACGAATGGTGAAGCTGTCTTCTTGAGTAATTGTGACTCTGTCTCTTATAGCCCTATCTAAGAAACCAAATCTGATAAGAGCCTTCCAGTAGCATTGGTTGTAATGATTAAAATGGGACTATGTATCCCGTTTTCTACTGGGGCATGAGCAAGGCTGATTCAAGGGAAATGTGTATAACATCTTCTGCTTGATGCAAATTCCAAAGGATGAGTGTGGATTCGTTCAAACTTCCCTTTTTTTGTGGTAAATGATAAAGTAACTCCTCCATTCTTTGTGATATTGTGAACAGTAACAACCATAAAGAAGTGAAAATCAAAGTATTGATGCAGATGTCTTTCTGTGTGTGTATTGTGTAGTGGGTTTTTTAAAATTAATTATTTTACTTTATAGCTTTTATTCCTTGGTCTCTGGAGGGGCGGAGATTCAGGAGACTCTGTTTTGGAAATAACTACAGCTGGGGAATTTTTACTCTGTTGCTGTCCTTAATTCCAGGTAATCGTTCCCACAAATGCAGAATCTTTGCCAGCATTGCCAGAACCAGAAGCTTTGGAGCTGAAAAAGCATCTGAAACAGGTAATAAGCACTTTGAGGAAGGGACTCAGATTCAGTAGAACTTAGCAGATGTAGTCTTGCACAGCTCTTTTGCTATACTGGACAAGAATGCAAGTCAGCAAGTGTAAAGCAAAATGTGCTAAAAGCAGATGTGTATCCTGGTGCATCTCAGATGGATGTGAACACGTACCAGACTACTAGAATGCTCTTGTTTAAGAAAGTGACCTATGATCAGTCATGAGAGGTCTACTTCTCTGAATGTGCAGGTGGACTTATCAATAAGGTGGCTGATTAAACAAAGTTACAGGGGTGTCTGCTTTTGAGATCCCTGAGCTGTATGACTTTCTAATGTTGTCTTCTCCTGACTAAGCTAAATCTGAGACTTTCATCTTGTTTCAGATCTCTCTGTACCCTCTCCAGAGGACTTCATTGTAATTTTTGTTAACCTGTTTCATCTTTTGCTGTCTCTTCTGCTTCCTCCTTTGTCAATTGTAGGGGAAGTACAGGACTAGGAATTTTCTGTCAACCTGTTTAATATGCCTCTTTTATATAGTTGGCCAGTTAGAACATCACCTATGTTAGAATAGAACAGCATTTTGATCCTGAAAAGCAATATCAATTGATAAAAATGTTAAGTGGTAAATATCCAGTTGCTGCTTTTCTGTCTTAATGGAGAGAGTTAATTTGGAAAAGTGAGTGATCACTGAGACTTATAACTGCAGTTAATTTCTTAGCCAGATGAGGGATAATTTGAAATGCTCCTGGATGCAACATACGGTTTCTGTTTTTTACTGTTGTTTGGGGCTAACTTGTTTCCAGTTGGTCCAGCAAGTTCCAGATTCCTTCTTTACATTTGCCATGTGGGCTTGAAACTCTGACTTGATCCATCAAGCTGTGATCATCTTTGTTTCCCCTCCATTCACAGATCTGTGTGTGAGGTCTCAGTCTCTCCTCTCAGGTCCTGCTAAGCCATTAATCAGCTTGGGTCATCCTGGCTGATTGTGTCAAGCAGGTTTTATCTCTTTATTTCTGTTTTCCTTATGCACGCTGCATGCAGTATCTAAAGGTAAAGTGTGTTACTAATGTGATGAGGTCTCCTCTTTCTCTCTCCTCATAGACCAGGAGAGCAAAGTGTGTAACCTCTATGATACCCCAGTACCTGCTGTCAGCACAGATGGAAGTGATGTGTGGCTTGGAGTTTTGTAAGCACCGCCTTCCCCCCACTTCTGCCTCACCCCCTTGCAATTTCAGGCACTATTCAGCAAAACTCTCTCACTAGGGCACAGTTGGATATCAGAACAATAAATTTTAATTTCCTTGAAGATGTATTTAAAGTTCTCAGAGTGTTCACCCAAGTTCACGTTATGACCCTATGTATAGGCATTAACATTAAAAGTGGACCATTGGCAAAGGAGAAGGAGTGCTACTGGTTGCTCTACAAAGTAGAGAAGACTAAGTTGTGGCCCACATCACTAAGGTTAACACTTTTGTGTGCCTTTGGGTCTTAGTGTCAACGAATAAAATTCAGGATATCTGCTTTCACACTGCAGTAGAAAGTTCTTAGCTGCATCAATAACAATAGCAGCCGTTCTACTTTCCAGAGTGGCCGGATGTGAATGTTTCGGGGTGGGGCAGTTAGACCTCTCTCCCAAGATGTGCCTATTTTGTGATCCCTTTTGTTTCCTCTCATTTGTGATATTTGGTAGTAATAGATTTTTTTTTTCTCCTTCCATCTGTTTCTCTGTGGTCATGTGTTCGTCTTGGCTGTGATGGGCTGCTGGTGTTATCATATGATCTTCCATCTTGCCTCCAGTGTCTGGTTAGCATGACTGCAATCACTCAGAAACAGCTGCTCACTCCTGACAACAAGGTTCTTTATTTTATTATTTTCTTCTCAATTTTCCATTTTACCCTTTTCCTTTGGAGTTTTATTTTTCATTTTGTTTTATATATTTATTTATTTTTGAAATAAAAAGGTGAAGACTCAGTGGGCAAATAGGAGAGATGAGGAAGATTGAGGATAGGTCTGGGTGTCCAGGACTGTTTTATTACTTATGCTGCTCCAGTGCCTATCCTTGAAGATGTTATGAGGGTTGAAGAGGATGATAGCTTTATGGAGAGATGAAGACCTCATTCAGATGGGAAGTGGAGGTTTGCAGGGATACAGGCAGATGCCTGTGTAAAGGTGTCTCCACATTGTCCTGGGATATCAGACTCACTGGTTGAACGGCCAAGTTGGAAGGCAAGTTTCAAGGCCCCTAGGTCCCAAGATGTATTCAAATTACTCATGGGAATAACTCTCCAGTAAGTTGTACACAGTGCCGTACTATTAGTGGTCCAATTTGGCCTATCTGTTTTCATGTCATGAATGAGCTATGAAAGTGGACTTCTGTGCTGTCCCTTGGCTGGCTCCAGGACTGTTTCAGCATTGAGGAGATAATTTTGACAATCCACATAAAGGAGGGCCTGGAGATATTTGTTGACTCAGCGTAGGAGATGGCTTAAGACAAACTAATGGAGCATGCACAATTGTTGCAATTGCCTAGAAGGCTGGGTAGCTCTGATCTCTCTCTTGTTCCTTGAATAACTTCTCTTGCTGATTGTGTGCATAACGTTGTCCTTTGTTAGGCATTGGCCAGCATGAGCCTGAATACTCAGCCCATTCTTAATCTAGAGAAGTTCCATGAGGGGCAGGAGGTGCCACTGCTGCTGGGAAGACCGCAGAATGATTTGCAGTCTACTCCCTCCACAGAATTCAACCCTCTCATCTATGGAAATGATGTGGACTCTGTGGATGTGGCTACCAGGTGAGGCTGAACAGGAAGGTTGTGTTGAGTCTTCATGAAGTTCGCACTTGAAGGCAGCACAGGCACTTCTGTGGGTCCTGTGGTGGAAGCAGCATCTTCCAGGTTCTACTGGAGGTTCCACTTTACATCATGGGAAAAAAAAGAGCAGAAATTACTGTGTTTATCTCCGATCTATTAACTGCATGAACATAACTGTATCTTTGAGGGGGTGTTTTGTTTCTTGCATTTTGCTATAGATCATGTACTTTACCTAGACTTGTCAGTCTGATACTGTATCCTCAGCTTAAATCACCAGCCTTGAACTACAAAAAAAGCTGGAGACTTAGTTGTCACCTCAGCTAGCAGACATGAGAATGATGTCCCTCATTGAGTGGGTCTTGGTGTTGAGATGGTGAATTAAAACAAAGTCGGTTTTGGTTTTGTTTTGTTTTTTTTTTTTTTTTTAGAAGATAATGTTTTACTAAGAAGAGTTAGTTTTATCATTCTTCAAAGGTTTGACACATTGCCTACTGCATACCTTTTAAAGGCTCCCTGTCTTCTTTCCCATTGTGTTCTGTGTTTTTGTCTGATATGTTGTCCTCTGTTTCTTTTTAGGGTGGCTATGGTGAGATTCTTCAACTCGCCAAATGTTTTGCAAGGTTTCCAGATGCATACTCGCACTCTTCGTCTCTTCCCACGACCAGTGGTGGCCTTCCAGGCAAATTCTTTTCTTGCCTCTAGGCCGAAGCAAACACCTTTTGCAGATAAACTTTCCAGGACTCAGGCAGTAGAATACTTTGGAGAATGGTCACTCAACCCTACTAACTATGCTTTCCAAAGAATTCATAACAGTAAGTTTTGGTCTTGCCTTCCCTCCACTTGGATGTAATGCAGAAACTTAAAAAGCAGAGATTCTAGGGAAGGGTGTGGTTTTACACCATATTATTCCTGATGGTGAGGGAAATCCAGTTCAAGGAACATTCTTCTGGTTTTATGTATGTCTTCATGTGTCTCTACCAAGTTAGCCCTGCTATTAGCCACTCACTCCTCCAATGAATTTTACCGCTTGGCTTGTTTGGTTATGGAGAAGAAGTCTTGTAGGCTTCTTAGAGTAGAGACTGTCTCTTCCTTTGTGCAAGACTTAGCAGGGGGTAGCCTCACTGTGAATGAAGCCTTTGACACCAATAAATGAGTTCAGTTAACTCTCTGCTTGGTTTTTGTCCAGACGTGTTTGACCCAGCACTGATTGGTGACAAACCGAAGTGGTATGCTCACCAGCTGCAGCCCATCCACTATCGTGTCTATGACAGTAATTCACAGCTGGCTGAAGCACTAAATGTCCCAGCAGAGAAGGAAACAGATTCTGATCCCACTGATGACAGGTTAGTGCATGGAGAGCATAACCCGACATGATAGTTCAGATTGCTGGGCCTCTCCTCCTACTTCTTATTTGCAGCCTTTTTCTGTAGCCTGCCAGGTTGCTATTTCATTTCTTCTGTCTGGGCAGAATACTGGCACTGAAGTAAACTGTCTCACTGCTCTGTCATCACAACAACCTCTTAACCCTCTGCTAGTATCTTCTCAAGCCTTCATTTAATGTGATTCTCCATTTATATTTTCCTGTTTTCTTTGCTACCTGTATGCTACTTGACATTTGGTATTTCCTCCCACCCTGATGCTTTTTTCTTCCATACTGTTCTTTCTCTGCTTATTTATGTTGCAGTACAAGTACTCCCACTCATCCTACCCCTTGTTCAATCTCTACTCAGTGCATAGTTAAGCGAAGCTTGTTAGTAGTACCCACTGCCTGAGACCTCCTTGTGTATTCGGTAAAAGGAGGGTAAACATTTTGTTGTAGTGGTTTTGGCCATATTTCTCAGAGTTTTGTGTCTAGTTTTATTATCCTTCATTCTCTGCTAGCCTGTGAGAACTTTCAGGCTTGGACTTGCCCATCTTTTACATTCTACATGGCACCAGTGGTCCTAACAGAGTGGGATTTATCATTAGTATAAAAAGGGAATGCTTTTACTTGTGGTTTCCAGTTCCCTTGAGCTTCTCCTACACACCCCCCCCCACCCCACTACTCCCCGTTAACTTATGCTTGATCTCATTAACTTTGTTCAGAGCCTTTAAATGTCTTCCCTTATTATTTCTTCATGGACCTCAAAGTTACTTCATTTGCTCTGACATTTCATGAAGCTGGCTGCTGACTCTTGCCAGAAATTTGTAGAGACTGTAATATCATGAGATCTTTAAGAGGCTCAAGAAAACAGTGGTGATTAATGTCTTTGAAACATCAGGCCCTGCTGTTGCTGTTTTGCTTCCACTTATGTCTATTTCTCACCCTTTGTGGCAGTGGCAGTGACAGTGTCGACTATGATGACTCAAGTTCCTCCTACTCCTCACTCGGTGACTTTGTCAGTGAGATGATGAAATGTGACATTAATGGCGATACCCCAAGTGAGTAACTTTGAGCCTTACTTTCACAAGGTCCACATAGGTTCCTCTTCTCCACTCATCTGCGCTGTGGGAGTCAAAGCAAAGTATTGTTCCATTGTAGTCTTGCTCTGAGGTAAAAGTGTCTTCTATACTCCAATATCCAGGGGTAGGCTGAAAAAAGACATTTATCCTGCTTATAAACAATGTCCTCTGAAGGACACTGGAAGGAGGAAGAACAGAAATAGGTGCTGCTGAGCAAAACTGGATCACTAGATCTGGAAACAACCTTCTGCTGCCAGTACGTACTGTGCAATATGGGCAGCAGAGTATGAGCTTTCTCCTGCCCCTGCATATTGGTTCTCAGTGATGGCTTTAATGCGTCACTCTGTCCTAGTTGGGACAAGAAAGTGCATTCTGTGTGGCTTATATGGAGGCTGCAGCAATAGCTTCTCTTGTGAGAGTGGGAAACTCACTTTCTTCAATAAACTAAATCTAAGAGTGCCAACACATTTCTTATAATTGTAGTCACAACAAAAGAAACTGCTTGGACATAAGGAAAAGATCTTCATGGTTAGTGTAGTTAAACAGGTTCCCAGGATCACAGTAGAATGTGAAGCCTTGAAGAGTTTCAAAACTCAGTGGGACAAGGTCCTGAGCAAACTGCTTTAACTTTGAAGTTACCCTAGCTTTGAGTAGAGAGTTGGAAGAGATGACCTCCGAAAGATCTTTACAACCTAAATTTTTATGCAAGTTTATTCTGTCAAGCAGTCCTCATCTGCTTGGGATCTTTAGTTAGATGGGCAAAAGGCTGAGGAAGGCAGTGTTTTTTAATGCAAAATGATGTGTTTGCAGATGTTGACCCCCTGACTCACGCAGCCCTTGGTGATGCTAGTGAAGTGGATTTTGATGATTTTCAAGAATATTCAGGGGATATGGATGAACAGGCCATGGACAGTGAAAACTCTCAAGAGAACAACCAACCTCGTTCAAGTTCCAGTACTACAGCCAGTAGCAGCCCCAGCACTGTCATCCATGGAGTGAATCATGTGTGTACTGAGATGAGTTCAGCCCTAAGATCCAGCATATTAGGATATAAAGAATGGGAGAATGCCAGTGGTTCTTTCTGAGAAGGGCAAAAGCTAATAGGACGGTGAAACCGTGCACAGATTAAACTGCATGCTCTTTCTGGACTTTCTGAGCAAGGTGGAGTTTACTAGTACCCTCTTATGCTGGGATAGAACATTCCTGTACGTAAAAGCTCTCATTCATTGAAAAATGCAGCATTATCAGAGAGCAGTGGTCCAGGTTGTGACTGCAGGAATTGCTTTTATGGAGTCTGGAAAGATGTGATGCATTAGAGGAACAGGGAGTGGGGTGGGGAAACTTCTGTATCTGTGGTCATTTAGGAAGAATGGGAGTTGCTTGCATAACCACAAAACAGGGTAACGGAAAGCCATTGTCATGAGCTAACACTTCCCAGTAAGATCTGTTTTACAGGGGAGTAAGTCCCTAGAACAATGCATGGATAGTGGGGATGGGATGGGGCTCAGTAACAAATAGCAAGGACTTTGCAGACTTCTCATTTGTAAATAATTGTTCTTGTCCTGCCCTTCAGTTGTCTGTAATGCAAATTAGCAAACAGATCAATGATTTGACTGGTCCACAGGAGTCAGCAGATTCAGCAGAAATAGAAGAGAAGTTGGTTGCTGGATTTTCAAACCATCTCCCTTCCTTGGCCCTGCAACCAAGCTTTCCCAAGATAAGCTTGGATCGTGAGAGCGACAGCGCAGCTGGCAGCATGAGCTCCTCAGAAGGGGTGGTGAGGAAGCGAGAGTATGACAATCCGTACTTCGAACCACAGTATGGTTTTCCTGTAGAGGATGAAGATGATGAGCAGGAAGAGAGCTACACCCCAAGATTTAACCAGAATCTCAATGGAAGCAGGCGAGTCCTTCTTGTGTCCCGCCCTTCCATACAGCACTGTTGGGATTTCCCTATGCTTCATGTAGTTTAACATTCAGTCTGTCAAGTGTCTTTTGCACCTGAAATATATTGTGATCACTTCCGTTTAATATTGAAATCCTGTAAACTACTGTGGTTTGAGGAAAGCACTTGCTCAGTTCTCTCAGTTCCTTGCTTTTATGTAAGTGGTAGGAGCTAATAGAATTATCAGTTCTTCCTAGAAATACTCCAGTGTATCACCTACTGAGTTCTGAAAACCTCTGAGTGATTTTTTTTTTTTTTTTTTTTTTTTTTTTTGGTGAAGCTTTGTATCTTGGGGCAAAGATGCTATAGTGATTGATGGCATCGTGTTTTCTTGTTATTGCTCTCAAAGCAGAACCTTTTCACCCTCCAAATCCACCAAGGCCCTTTTGCAGACAAGTTTTCAGCATGCCCTGAAAGGTAATAAAAGTCTGAATGCAAAGATGCTTCAGTTCTCTCTCTCTCTCTTTTTTTTTTTTTCTTTTTCTTTCATGCAAGGTAAGGGTAGTGTGGTGAAAACTGATGAGGAATGAGACCAGCATCAATCTCCCACAGTCATACAACTTGTTGATCTGGGGTGGGAAGTGGGAAAGCTAATAACTGTTGTACTTAATTTCTTTCAAGGTCTCAGAAGTTACTCCGTCCAAACAGTTTAAAACTGGCCAATGATTCTGATGCAGATTCAGATTCCAGGGCCAGCTCCCCAAACTCTACTGTCTCCAACAACAGCAGTGAAGGTTTTGGGGGCATCATGTCTTTTGCAAGTATGTAGCAATGCATTCATTAAGCTGGTTTTATTTATTATATTAGAGTTTACAGAGAGATGGAATTGAGCAATAGCTAGTCAAGAGAATGACTTGGTTGTCAAATTGTTACCAGCTTTTCAGAATTCATGTTGGGAGCCACAGGACTTGGTTAACTTACAATGCTGGTAACTAGTGCTTTATGTATTTCGGTTACGTGGTTAGGCCCTTGAATTATACGGCACTTCAGGGCACAGATCAGAAATTCTTTCCATTTCATTTAAACAAAAAATCGTGCAATTTCATGAAGTTGGTGCAAAAATCTTACCAGAAATATGCCTTCCATGCTACCATGTTTTGTGTTGAGGTGCTACATACAATTTCTTGACTGTGCTCACCTACTTTTAATTATATTTTAATAATAAAATCCACAGGTGTGGAAAACTAGTCTAGAGTTTTTTAATGAGTGAAAGAAGATAGGGCCAGTTGAGTCTTGCACTGTAGTGGAGAGCAGTGCAAAAAGTTTGCAGCAGTGGGGAAAGTATAATGGATGTTTCTGGTAAAATTGTTACTAAAATAAGGCTGCAAAAAAAGAAGAACCAAACCAAATTGAAATAGTACGCTGACATTTTATATTAACATCTTGAACTGTTAATCAGCTCATTGATCTACATGAGATGCTTTGAGGCTGTCTACAGGCTTAAGCAGACGATGATGCATTATTGTGTTCTTAAGATCTGTCCGTACTAGGAAGAACTTTTGTTTTCTCGTAATAAATGGAAAACTTCTATTTTAAAGCATGCTTCTGTGGCAGATTTACAGTGTTTGACAAGGCACAGTGCACACTCCTCCCTTCAGAATTACATATTTTGGAGATCTTCTGTCATCCTGTTTTCTCATGTGGCCCCTACCATTCATTTGCTCCTAAAAAGAGGATCAAACTAGAAGACAACAGCTGACATGAGGTTAGCTGTTTAAGTGCAGGAAGACAGGTGGATATTGCTGTTATATTTAAGACTTAAAGATACAACAGCAATGATTGTAACATGAAAGCTAAGAATTAAGTGGTTTTACAATTTAGAATAATGTGATTACAGATGTGCTTGCAAAATAAATGAGATGTTATGCTTGTGAGACTTTTGGGTAATAAAGAAGAACTTAATCATTAAGTATATGGAATAATACGGTGAATTACAGGAAGTTTTAAGAAGTTCAGGTGTGTGCAGTGAGCATTAGGCATTTAGTTGTTTTCTTCTTCTGTCATAGGCAGCCTGTACAGAAACCACAGCACAAGTTTCAGTCTGTCCAACTTAGCCCTACCAACCAAAGTTGGGAGAGACAAGAATACTCCCTTTCCCAGCCTGAAAGGTAACCATTTTCCCCTTTGTCTTCTACAGCCTTTACAGTTCTTGTGACTCGGCAGTCTGAGGTCTTACCCCTAACAGGAATCCTGGGGGTGACACATTTTGGTACTTTGGGTAGTACCTGTCTTAAGTATCAAGACAGTAAATTGTCTTTATATTTCCCAGACTTCTTCCCAACAATTGGGCTGTGTTGGGATGGGAGACTGGCTGGTCTAGCCTGTGTTAACAGATACACTGTGAATATTGGTTTTGTTTTGTGTTTGCTTTTGTTTTATTTTTAAGTACTTAGTGTAAAGAATGGGAACCAAGAGGTAGGTCCTGCTTTTGTACTGCCACTGTCTTCATGATTAGCCTTAGGTAACTTGTTAGAGCAATGATGCTGCGTTTGTAAGTGGGGATAATGCCAGCCTCGGTTGGAAACTGCGGTTTACATGGGTTTCAAAGGTGTTCAAAAGTCTTTTCAGTTCACTAAATAGAAAATTTCTGCTCAAAATCAAATTAGAACCATGCTTCAGCTCATTCAGAGTGAAGATCGATCCCTAACTTATGTGCACAGTCTTTTCATTGGAACATCTCCTGTTTGTCTGCAGTATCTTTAGATAGAATGTTTAAATGGGCATTAGAGAAATGACCCTCTTAATGTGGGGGGTGAGACAGCCTGGTCATCGTAGTACCAGATGTAGCAACAGAAGAGTGACTGAGCACATGCTGGTGTTTTGGTGTTGAGACCTTTTCAGTTGCTGAACTGGGGAAAGGCTTTATTTTACCCTTTGAGTTATTCTATTTGATTAGAACTTACTGCTTTTGTTTAATATGTTGATTTTTTTTTCATTTATTTTTTCCTCCTCATCATTTTCATCGGTAAAGATTACTTTAATCTGGAAGTGGGAAGGGATGTGGATGAAGGTTGGTATGATGTTTTGCTGACCTTTGACCTTGTAGAAACAAAGGCCAAAACCTGTTTTTTGTGTTTCTGCTTTGGACTTTGTTTTTGAGACAAGTAATCATTCCCTGTGCATAAAATGAGGAGGAACAGGACTGGTAGGGTGAAAACACTAGCAGAGATTCCACACAGCTGTTTTTGACAACCTTTTACCAGTTGGTTCTGGTTTCATGTCCAGTTGTACTGGATAAGAAACATGCTTCATGTCAGGGTTATTTCCATGGGTAATCTTAATGATTGGTTCCATGCATTGGAAGAAAACAGTGATGGGGTTTGCCGTTCCACGCTCATGCTTTGTGCCTTATCTTCTGCACTTTGGTGTTCTTTTCTTGACTATTGTAATCCTATAGGGCCTTTAATGTTACTATGCAGATAGGATTTCTGTGAAGTAGTTCAGTCTGTTTTATGCATGTGCAAGTGTGTGTGTGTTTGTGTTAATTTACATGTGCATGCTGGCTCACTGGGACTCTCACTGGGCACTTCACTGGTATTTAAATGTTTTTGTCTGTTGTACAGGTATAAAATTGCTGGATTAACTTGTTCTTAGCAAGTGTGTGTGGTACCTTGTGTTTCTAACTGTAATGGGAAATGATGCTGGGACTCCATCTCATTGCTGCTGTTTGACCACTTTCCATCTTCGTTTTTAATTTTTATTTTGTGCACATCCATTGGTATTTTTTTCCTCAGTGATGCAGATGTTTTTGATAGTGCCCTTGAAATACAATATGTGCAATAATGTCCTCAAAGATGCAGTACCTTGGTTCCATGATGCCAAACTTCAAGTCAAGCACTATCTCTAAGATTAATTACGCTGGCCTTTGTTCCCTTGGGCTTTCAAGCCTCCTTCCTGCTCTAGCGTCATTTGGGTTCTGTTTTGAGGGAGGGCTGGGAAGAAGATGGTAGTTGGATTCTTTTGATACTGATGGTGGGAGTGTAGATGTTGTAGTATACTACTAATTGTATATTTTGTGTCCCAGTATTTGGGTTAAATACTATAATGGAGATTATTACTGAAGCTGGCCCAGTAAGCAATGAAGGTGGGTTCCCTACAGCATGAGCTGTGCATGATATAACAATATCCAGCATTCCCTATGCCTGACTTTGGGCTACCTTTCTCACTGGGTAACCAGTACCACATGATCTATACTAGTCACACCCAATGCATTTTGCTTTTACATATAGTGACTAATTTGAAGATGGTTCTTGTTGTGGAACTGCATGCATAGCAGCCAAACTTTTCCTGCCTTTCACCTCCTGCTCCTATTACCATCTTCTATTTTTCTCTCTGCATTACTCCCATTACTGTTTTCTGCCGATGTGTGATGCTAGAATATCTGCTGCTAGAAAAGCTGCTGCTTTTTTGGAGTTTCCATTTTGTTTGAAGTCTGTTACCTGTAATCCAAATAGGTGTGTTAGCCAGCCTTAGTGTTGCTTGTTACTGTCCTGGGATCAGATTGTTTTCCTCCCACCAGTTCCTCTTATCCTGTTTCCTCTCCTGTTTAGGAAACAGACGAGCCCTTGTGGATCAAAAGTCTTCAGTCATTAAGCACAGCCCAACAGTGAAGAGAGAATCTCCATCGCCTCAGGGACGAACTAGCAATTCCAGGTAATATTTTTTTTATTGCTTTTTGAGTATAAAGTGTTGTTAGAGTTGTGTCATACTGGGCCAATGTTCCCTCAGAAGTCTGGCTGTTGAAAACTAAATAGTACTTTTCTATGGCCCTAAGATTGCACGTATTATTGTCCGAGATGGATGGTCTTACAGTTAATAGCACACATAGGTATTTTTCTGTGCCCTGAAATGTATGTTCTTTGTGTCTGAGATCCAAAACTTCTAGGTCCCTGCTTTAACTCAGTATTTATGCTTTGTAATTGAATCTGTTCTGAACAAGGTCGTCTAGCCAGTGGAGTTTTAATGCACCATGCAGGCTATCAGCTGAGTCATATGAAGTGCTTTGATTCTGTGTGAATTCATGTGAAATGCTTTTCCTGGCCTTGGGAAGAAGACCTCAGGATGGTGCAAGTAAACATTACTTGACCTGTGCCTATTCTTTCTCTTCCCTTTCTTATGTAGCAGTCATGGGTAGAGTCAAATTTACTTTGAGCTGCTGGGGTTGGGAGACAAGCAAGAACAATAACTGCGGTTCAGTCTGGGGAATGCAGCAGGTTGCACAGAAGTTCCCTTCTTCTTACCATTCCCTCCCCTGTGGCAAAACAAGCTGAAGCAGTACACGTGCCAAGGCTGCTGCAGTAGTGCTATTACTAGTACTACACTTCCTCTTTCAAGGAAAGCCTACAGGTCAGACAAGGCAGCTATGGAAGAAGGTTGTGGCATAGAGGATTCCTGTGGATTCTGAGGGGTGTTGTGAGGGTGAGGAGTAGAGTGGTAGCTAGAGGGACTAGAGGAAAATATGATTATGGCTTATTATAGGAAATAATAGACAAAATAAAATATTTAATCCTACACCTATAGAATAGAGCTTGGGCTGTGTGCAGTTATGTTGGCAGCAGGCATAGCTAGATTTGAACTTCTTGTTGTAATGGGTCTGTGTGGCAAGGTTTTGG